AACTGGGTAAAAATGATTTGATAAAAGTGTCATAAAAAAAAAAAAAAACAATAAAAAAATCCCACAAGCTTTATGGACGTCTTAATTATAAAATACAAATGTTCATAAGTTAAAAATCATCGTTCATATAGCTGTCCATTAAATAATGAGAACGTCTAAGGTATGTCAATAAAACTTCTATAATGTACAAGATTAAGTATCTATTAAAACAGGTGTCCAAAATTCCTTAAGATATCTAACCGCTCAGCTTGAACATTATCGCAATGTGTAATGAACTAGAGAGGGTTGTCTTTTGCATTTGGCGCATAATTGATTCACACTTGTCTCCTACAAGCTCTTTTATATTTTGCTCAGCCTCTTTCGAACAGCCTCCAAGGACATCCATGATGATGTTATACTGATTGACCTTGTACTCAGGATATCGGTTCGTCAGCTCTAGTCTCAGTTGACTGTACTTCGTTGTTTTCTCGAGAACTTTAGACTCTCTATTTTCCAGCCATGGACAGCTCATTTCAATCACTCTGACTTGCTTGCTGGTCTTGTCAATAACCGTGGCGTCGATTCTATTAGCTTTTACTTGAGTTGTGTCAGCGAATAAGGGGACGTTCCAGAAGGCGGTCGCATGCTCATTCTCATTATTATTATCTCGCAGTATAAAACTTTGGAATGCTGTCCACATTATCAGTAGTATAGAGCGCATAAACGTAACCTACACCACTTGAGAAGCTATACTTAGAAGTAAAAAAAGGTCGGTACGAAACCTAATACGATCCTAAAATACATAATGATATGAATCTCTCTACTTAAAAAGCCAATTTAGAAAATTATTAAATTCTTATACTCTGTAAACCCTACGCAAAGACATGATGATATAATTATCTCTACTAGAAGCCTGTTTAGAAAATTATTCAGTTTTTATACTCTCATTATCTCTTATATACCTAAACGAGGCCATCATAATGTGGTTATCTCTACTAAAAGCCTATTTAGAATAATATAAAACTATAATACTCTAAAAAATCTAAGTAAAAACATCAGCAAACTTTTGTTTCTAGATTTCTAGGGGAAAAAAAGCCTAAAAACTGGAGTCCTTAGCGCCCTAATTAAGTATTTATCTTAAATGTTCTGGCAATTTTTTAAAGTGTTTGAGATGACCGACTTCTGCATCCGCTCAAGTACGCTCCGTGCTCTCCTTCCAAGTAGCATCCTTACCGACTTCTCTAGGTGTTTAGAGTAACCACCCAGTACGTCAACTATTACGTTGTACTGTTCAACCCTGTAACCATTGTATCTCTGCTTCAGCTCCCACATCATGGGCCCATACTTGAGTGTCTTTTCCTCATCTTTCTTAGCTCATTTTTTCTGTTTAAACTCTTTTTACCCTCCAAATTAGATTTGTATTCCGTAAAATTGCACCGGTCTAGAAGCATTTATTTTTTTGGTAAAATTAATACGCAGGTGTTTTTCAGTACATCTGAGTTTCTTCTGTGGCATGTGAACTTTATAGTGATCTTTAACCCTTCGGGTTGGTTTAACCTGCAGTAAATGCAAAGCACTTAACTCGATGAAAACTGAAGAAATTGACTCGTACGATTTAGCGATGCTACTAAAACAGAAGGTCTGTATTTGTTTGAAAAAGTATCGTGGTTTATATCGGAAGCGCCATTAAGTGCGCTAGACATTGTTGGTGGTCCTTTTTTTCCTTTTTACACTTACTTCTTTTTTGTTTGGTTTGTGGATGTTTGGTTTGTTTTTTGTTTTTTGTTTATTGTTACTGTTATTGTTATTAATATTAAGGAAAGGTTTGGGAACGCTAAGACAAGTAAAAAAATAACGCGAATGAAATCGCACGACCTTTCGTTGTCATCGTGACGCCATTTTTAAGTTCAAAAAGGGTCTAGTAGACAAACTATTAGAAATAACGAAAATACTCCATTGAACGTCGTTCGAATTAATCTGCGTTATTGTTTACTTGTTTTGTGTTATTGTTATTATTATTATTATTATTTTCTAATGAAATCAAAGTGTTTTTTAAACGAAATGAAATTGTAAATAGTGTTTTGACGGAACAGTTATTGTTTAAGTGAATTAATTGTAAATAGGATGTTAATAGTTAGCACTGTTATCAATAAAATGTGTTCAGTCATACCAAAAATGTTATTATTTGTAGTAGTAGTCGTAGTAGTATTAGTATTAGTATTAGTATTAGTATTAGTATTAGTATTAGCATTAGCATTAGCATTAGCATTAGCATTAGCATTAGTGTATGGCAGTACAAACGTCTGGATGCCCAGACTAAAAAATAAAAGCTTTGGCTGAGCGGCAAACCGTAACCAGCCGCAGCATGGACTAAAATTTGCAGTAACAATCACACATATAATTTGTACCCCCCCCCCCCAAAAAAAAAAAAAACTGGAAAAAAATAATTTGATAAAAGCGTCATAAAAAAAAAAAAAAATTAAAAAAAACAACAACTTTAACGGACGTCTTAATTAAAAAAAACAAATATTATTACTATAAA